CGACAAGAGGGGAGTTCTCCAACCTGTAGGTATGGTGCTAGTTGTTCCTCCCCAGGTGCATCACCTTGTGCTTGTCTGTGTTGAAACCCATCCTATTCTTATCCGCCCACCCTTGTAACCTGTCTAGGTCAGATTGTAGCCTGTTGCTTCCTTCTAGTGTGCCCACATCCCCCCACATCTTAGTGTCATCAGCAGATTTGAACAGGGTGCTTTTTACACCCTCGTCCAAATCACTCATGAAGATGTTGAACAGCATGGGCCCGAGGACCGAGCCCTGCGGAACCCCACTTCCCACGTCCTTCCAGGTTGAGAAGGAACCATCCACTACCACCCTCTGGGTGCGGCCCTCCAGCCACCTGGTGACCCATTTGACTGTGTGGGTGTCTACGCCACAGCCCCCCAGTTTCTTAATGAGGCAGTGTGCAATAAATCAAAGTATTGGTGAATTTTACTGTGTGATAACAAGCTGCATTGTAATCCATACACATGGGGGAAGCACTAAAACTGAAATCTTAAGGTTGAGAATCACAAACTAAGCATACCAGTCATGAATTCAAGTGAGTTTAAGAGCAATTATCAGATGCTCTAATTATGGTTCGTACAAGGAAGTTAAACTTCATTGGTGCATCTACCCATGTAGTTAATACAAAGCAGTAAACTGTGGCCATTTCAAGCTGGACTAAACTGTTCCCAGGTGCAGCGTCTATATGTGTGCCTGGGATAACAACTTGAGCCAGGGCAGCAGAGTAGGCCCCCAGCTGGTTGGGCTGACCAGATGTAATTTACATCTGCAGTCAGCCTCTATACATCCATTTCAGCATGGTAAATGATTCTGGTGTACGAGAGTACTGTCCCCAACAGTATTATCTTATGGCAGAGTTTTAGTTTACTAATATCAACCCACATGTAGACAGTGATGCTTTACTGTGGAGCTAATTAGTCAGCTCTGCAGTAAAGCATATGTTTAGATGTGCCTTATGATTTGAATGCAAGTAGAGTAACTTTACTTCCATTGCATTAGTCTTCTGCTGCAATAGTTTGTTCAGCTTTAAGGGCAAGATCCACAAGAGGCCTTCAGGTTTGTGATACTGAGTCCTGGGCACCAGGGCAAAATTAGTAGGCTGTTGATTCAGTTATACACCCTTTAAAATGCCTGGGGGGAATTAGATGCCTTTAGAATGGGTTTCAATAACCAGTATTGGTAAGCTGCCCAAGGGCTCCAGTAGGGGACAGGGGCTCAAGATCTTAAGACTGATCTCACTTATCCCCTTTCTTTTAGAAACCAAACAGGGCTCATATTTTTCTTTCAGAATGTGGCTAGAAGAGATGGTAACAATGTCACTGTTTTTCTAGGATAGCCTTGTGGTTAGAGCATGCAAGTGGAATATAGGTGGCCTGGGTTTAATTTCTTATTCTTCAGGGGATTCAGTGCATTTCCCACCCCCAACCCCCATCTTCCTCCACCCCAGGTGAGTGACCTGATCTGCAGACTAAGCTGTTTTGTGAAAGTGCTAGAGCTTTGCAGATCATTAGATTAATTGGGCCAGAGAGCAAGTGTGTTTGGTCTGGCAAATAATGCAGTTGAAACCATAGCTGCGAAATGACTGCTCTTCACTAGTTTGTAATAATATTTGGAATAGGTTTTTTTTACTGTTGCCGTGTTATGTGATATAAAACAACTTGCTTGTCCCATGGTCCTGTGTTAAGTACGTCATTGATTTATTTCTGTGTTGTGCGCTCCCCATTTGATTTTTTTTTTCCCCCTTTACTTACATTGTAGACATCTGTTAGCATATTCTTAAATAGTTGAATAAAGAGTTAATTATTTGAAGTGTTCAGTTACCCAAATGCAGGACATGTTGCCCATTTGTGTGATGAATGAGAGCAGAGACAACAAAATAATTGTTAAATATTATTAACAATTAAAGGGAGGCCAGTGTGGGCAGGTTAACCTTTTCAACGATTAAAATGTTTTTTCCTCAACCTTCAAATAAGGAAAGGACCTGTACTTGTATACATGTTCATTTAATAAGCATTTCATTGACCAAAAGTGGTTTGTAGTAAAGGAATTAGTTTCTAATTAGTTTCCTAACTGACTATTGTTTTTTATATAAAAAAAAATCCGATTTTGATGGCCTCAGTTGAAAGAAAAATGGTTTAATTAAAGTCTTAAATATAGGGAAAACCATAATGGTCACTAGGTCCAGATTTGGAATGTTATTTAATTGTTCTGGCTTCAACTTTTCAGACTATGAGAAGACAACGAAATGAAGTTGTTGTGGAGTTAAGAAAGGTGAGATCAGTTAACATTGCTCCTTTGAAAAATAACTTGATGTCTCAGAATTTTGAGTTACCAATATCTGTATGATCACAGTGCATATTCTTTTGTAGATCTTTGTGAAAGATGCTGCCAATCTTTCTTTTTATAAAATTTGTGCAGACATTTGGACTGTTTCAGTGCGAGGGAAGCTTTTGAAAGGCAGATGTTACCAAGTCAGAATCTAAGAACTTCACCTAAGTTGTATTCCTGTAAACTAGTTGAAGAAGTTTTATTTCAACTAGTTATGCAAACTTCTGTGATCCAAATAATTCTCACTGATAATCAGCCCATATATTATTCTTTTATTTGTTGCTTGGCTCAAATTAGCTTAATGAACAGGTACCAGTTGCCCCATCCGGTTATCTGATGTCTAAGAAATCCTTCAGCATGTGTGGTGTTTAAAAACTACTCTCTATATTAGGGATGTCAAACATCCCATGGGCTGGCTCTGACCTGAAGGGCTGCTCACAGGCTAGACCACTTGCTCTCAAAGGCTGGATTCAGCCTATGGGGTTTATTGCTGAGGTTGCCAGAGTCCCTGTGGCAGTGAAGTTAATCCCTACTGTTTGGCATGGCTTTGAAACCTGGGGAGTTAATGTTTCTCACCTCTCCTCCCTTTTTCTGCTGCTGCTTAAATTGGTATTTTCAGTTGCTGCTGGTGACTGATATCAGTGGCAAGGGAAAAGGAGGGAGGGGGCAAGTAGCAGCAACATTAACTTTTTGGGTTCCAAATTAAAGCCAAAGCAGCACCCATATGGCCCATGAAAAACCCCAGGGTCAGGATCCAGCCTGTAGGGCCCAGTGAATTTGACCCTTGCTCTATATCCTGGACTTTGCTTAGGTTTTATGTAAACTTTGCTTCTAATAATGAAGCGATATTACCATGAACTGTCCTCAGTAAAATACAAATAATAACTGTTTTCCTTACTACATGCAAATAAATTGGGTCAAGGCTACTAATTCTGACACTAATTCAACAATCAGTCATAGCCCAAAGCATACTGAGAGGCAAGGCTTAATTGCCATAAACCCTTAACTTATCTTAGCCAGTTCAGCAGAACAAAGCCACCATGCAAAGCAGGGTTGGGTGACCTTATAGTGACAAAAATTGTGTGTTGCCTTATCTTTTCACCTGCCAGCTGCTGGAGGAGGGATCAGTGGACTGAACTGGCAGGCTTCAAACTCATTACAGAAGATTGTCAAGCACACCCAGAAGTTAGCCCTGTGGGGGAGAGAAGAATGGCAACATAATTGCCAGAGTGAGCTGAGCAATCATTCTTAAAATAATTAAAATTAGTATCGGCAAGTCTACAGCAATTGGTGTGTGATGAAAAAAAATTGCAAAGGGGTTTTTTAATACTTCCTATGAATTTTGAGAGGAGGGACTTGACATCACAAAAAATACTTTTTATTAGCTTTTTGAAGATGCAGAAACTATGGCAATAGGGTAATAGTTTTTTGGTTTTTTTTTTTTTTAAAGTAAAGCACAGTTGCTTTTATCTGGACGTGTTTTATCAGATATAGATTATTTCTGTGTTTACTATTCTGTAAGAGATCTTTTAATTTGCCAACCTGTTATCTTCAGCACTTGCATCATCATCTTCAGGCCCTTGACCGTCATGAGATTCTGTAGTTCTGTCATAACATATTTTGGGATACCTGGCTGAGGTCAGAGGAAGTTCCATAAAGATTTTGGTGATGGGGAGAGAAGTCTTCAATTTGTCTCACTTGAGACTTTTTACATGGTCTCACTTGCACAGTTTGGCCCAAAACAAGAAATCTTCCAGTATAACTACCCAAAGTGAGATGCATATAGAAATGAAACTGCTGAAAATGGCTGCCTTCAAAACTTTAGAGCCTTTCAGATTTAAAAAAAAATTGTCAGTGGTTACTTCTGAGATGAGCAGGAAAATTTAGAAAGTTTAGCAGCCTGAGTAAAGGAATATGGGTATCGGTATCTGTGGGTCATCATTGTGCCACTACAGTACATTCTTCATTGCTACTGGTGTGTATCAATAGATAACTATACTGTTCTTCAGAAAGGTAAAGGTAAATGTCTGTACTACTAAAACACATTCTTGAATGCTGAGTTATTAACATCCATAACTCTTACCAATGCTTTAAAAATCTTCTTAGCCATTGCAAAAATGCCGAGCTTCTAAACATAGCAAATACATTTTTTCTTTAAAGAACAAAAGAGATGAGCACTTGTTAAAGAGAAGAAATGTACCCCATGAAGATATCTGTGAAGATTCTGATATAGATGGTGATTTCAGAGTGGTAAGAATTAATAATTTTGTGTTTTTTCATGTATATAAATATATCAAAGTTAATTAGTAAAAAGCCTTTCTAACTTTTCTGTCTCTTTTTTTAAAGCAAAACACATCCTTGGAGGCGATAGTACAGGTAAAAAACCAAACAAACAACCCGAACCCTTTTCCCCCTCCTGGTTTCCTCCCCCAGGTTGAGACCCATAAGAGCAATAT